CTGAAGATACATGCAAGTAACATTATACAGGCCAAACAGGTTGTATTTATGAATATATATGTATATTTATATATGTATGTCACAGTAAAGAATGAAAAAATAAGGCCATGAGTCTGAAAGAGAGCAAGGAGGGCATATTCAAGGGTTTGGAGGGGGGGAAGGGAAGAGGGAAATGATGTCATTATATTATAATCTCAAAAATAAAAAATATTAAACATGACATATATACTAGGATTTAAGTAGTTAGCATATGCGTAGTACTTTGTGTTTGCTTAGTTTTGAAGGTTGTCACCTAATTGTTTTATCATTAGACAATTACATTTCCAAACTAAAAATAATTTAGATAGTGCTTTACATAAGTAATCTTTTTTTTTGGGGGGGGGGGTTTCAAGACAGGGTTTCTTTGTGTAGCTTTGCACCTTTCCTGGAACTCACTTGGTAGACTAGGCTGGCCTCGAACTCACAGAGATCCACCTGGCTCTGCCTCCCGAGGGCTGGGATTAAAGGCGTGTGCCACCACCTCCCGGCCTACATAAGTAATCTTTAATGAAAACTACTTTGTTCCCTTTTTGTTTTCTTCCAAATGAGTGGAAATAATTTTAACACTATGTAACGGGATAGGGCTACCTTCTCTGATAAATTTTCGAGAACTTTTCAGGACTCAACTTAAAACTCCTATGTAGGAATGGAAGGTGTCATAAGCTTCAGTGGGTCCCTCTGCATAGTGTTGTTTTTCAACCCGGAATAAGACTGGAAGGATCAAGTGTTCTATGGATGGGCAACGAACCCTACCTGAGTGTGTGGTTTCTTGCCAAGCTTGGCTGACGTTCTTGTAGCATTTCAAAAATGTTTGGCTGGCGAAGAAATGCCACAATCTTGTCATTATATGCTGAAACAGAAAAAAAAATGCAGAACAGTGGTTGAGGTAGATGATTATAAAATGCCCACTTGATCCTAGGGAATAATGTAGACATTTGAAATGTTCTTAAGGAAATGAAGCACTGCATAAAAATAGGACAAAACAGCATTATTATCTTCAAAGATAAGTAAAAGTAATCAAGGCTGAGCAGTAATGTGCAAATCACAGGGAGTGTTCAGGGCGTTGTGTCATCCACGTTTAGATGGAAGATGGAGATCAGAACAGCTCTCCTGTGAGGCCTTCTGTATTTATTCTAGCTTTCGCCGTTCTTTTCCCAAGTTACTATGATAAAAGATCCTTTGCCGGTCCAAAGGAATCCTTTTCTGAGTGTTTGACAATTGCTGCCATGGCTATGTGTTGATTTTCCAGCCACAGGGATGAAAACACACATTATTCAGACTCTCTCACCTCAGTTTGCTTAATACAAGTGTTTTGAAACTAAATAGTTGAGGTTGGGAATGCTGACTGTGCAAGCTTTCCTCACACACCCACGGAAAGGGAGCCATAGATTAGAGAGCACACAGAGCAGCCATCTTAACCAGGTGTCAACCAAGGATTCCCACTGCTGCAATAGTGACATGAATATGACAGAGGGTCATCAACCACTTTATAAAACTGGCTTAGGACCTGATCTTTGGAGGGAACTCTAGTCTGCTATTCTAAACCTGATGAAGAATATGGGGAGGTCATAGCAGGGGAGGTCATAATCCTGGGGGAGAACCTACCATTATTATGTTGATAAACGGCACAGTATCAAGCTGCCTCTTTAACATTTCTTCTTTCTTTCTTTCTTTCTTTCTTTCTTTCTTTCTTTCTTTCTTTCTTTCTTTCTTTCTTTCTTTCTTTCTTTCTCTCTCTCTCT